GGGCCGGGGGAGGGGTTACAAGACTCGCGTCTTGTGCTGCATTCACTTGCACTCGGACATTAGAGATTTTCTCTCATAAATGTCCGATGAGCCACAACTTTTCTTTCAAAACAAAGAAGCCAACTGGGGTGGCAGCTGGGGTGGCAAGGCTATTTTTTAGGGTGGCAGTTGCCACCCCATGCCACCCCGGTAGATCCGCCCCTGGCAGGCAGACAGGATGACTTATAATGACAATCATTTAATCAAGGAAGATACAGATGGAGCGTCTTATTTTGGACAGTTTGAAACGCGAGGGTCGTGATTGGTCCGTGATTGGTCCGTGATCGGCCCGTGATCGGCCCGTGATGAAGAGCCGGCCCCCGGTCTGACTTGATACCGCCCCCGTGATAAATAAATGTAATTATTGTGAAGCCAGCTGCAATGGATCATTGATCCACCAGGGGGTGCAGTGGGGTTCCACACTGGAGTCATGTGAAATCAACTTCGACACAGTAAGCTGGATGTACAGTATGTCTGGTACTAATGTATAGTGGATCTTTGTTAAGATCCATATGTCACGGATAGGATCATAGTCTGTGCTAAATAAGACATGTAATCATTTACAAAACATCACCATGTTGTTATTTAACAAAATAATGTTGTTTAGTCGAAAAAAATGAACGAGAGGAAATTCAGCCGGCTCTCGATTTTTAATCCTAATTTAATCATCATCTTCACCACGATCATTTATGTTTATGTTCGCCGAATTTACATGAAATCACTGACAAATATGAATATACTGTATTCAACTTCATTAAAATGTTATTAACGTGCCTAAACTCAGTAATTCACTAAAAATATTTATATTTTAATGGAGCCTTGTCAGGCATATCAAGACCCGCGTCGCGGAGGGATCTTGATCCCTGGGTGTTATTTTTCCCCATAATGACCAAGTCGCTGCAAATTATCCCGCTTATTACATGGCCACATTCTCAACAAAGTAACGACATAACTCCCAATATTAATTAAAATGCTTTTATGGATTTAGAAAATATTTTTATTGATTTAAAAAATAGTTGTATGTATTGATTTAAATTGACATGCATCCGCTAAGAAAAATAGTCCGTTGTTACCGTTTTTTAAACAGTCAGAATGAAACGGCAGCTCTCAGCTGTGTGTTTACACACCTAATGGCCCATCACCCACAGCTCTCTCCCCCCCCTGATCTTTCTTTTCCAACAGTTAAGTTAACTGTAGGTTACTCTGAGTGACAAGCTTACAGTTAGTGAAGTAACACTTTTTTTTTGTGAGTCACAACCTCGCTGTTTCATTCTAACATAACGCTCCAAATATGACTGTTTCCACTCGGACTTCAATACAGCAACACCATTGTTTGGTTTCCATGGTAGCGTGTCTCTTTAGTAGCGTGCACTCCTTTCCTGTAAATTACAGGTCCAGCCCAAGCCCCCAGGAAGTGCGCCGGACTCAGATGAAAATATTCGTGCTGGCCAAACGGCGGTACTACACTTCCTTTTGGTTGCCAGGCCCGGAAACACTTTTTCCCATTGACTTACATGGGGAAAGAGTGGTCTGTAAATCGTTGGATAATTTTTTTTAAACTAAATAAACTACCCAGTATGAACACTTGTATAGCCCTTATTAAAAACATTCGTTCCTCAAGTTGTAAAAATGTGCTAATAACGTTATTCTGTGAGTTATTTCCCTCTGCATTATGAACGCGCATCCAACCCACGGGACCGCGCCGCCCGGCACGTTCATGTTACGTGTTCAGCACTACATGCGTTTATCTTTACCCATGGATGCACAATAAGAACGGCCCCATATCGCCTTACTGCCAGCCCACGGAGCTGTAATAATGGATATATTGCACATGTTTGCTGTAATTCATCATTTGTAAAATATTATACTACATGGGCTGTATTATTAAATCTTGTACCGTAAATGTTGTATTAAATAAAGTTAATATTACCGACGTAGATTAACGTCCCTGTAGCTTCTTATTGCACTAAGAAGCTTATTGCACTGTATATATATATATATATATATATATATATATATATATATATACATATATATATATATACAGTGCAATAATTCTTTCATGCTAAATGAAGCTCTGTTGCTTGGATATCACTAGATCCTGTTACAGCGTAATATAAAAGTACATAACGATTGATGTGTAAATTAGCATAATTACTAGCTAACCGCTAGCTGCTAACTGCCGCCTCGTTAATATCAAATCTATCATAATAACAAACCATTACCATGCTGTCATGAACGTGCGGTGCTGTTACGTGTACGCAAATTGACGTGCTTGATGTGAACGAGCATTTTGGGGGGCATGGTTAAAGTTGCGCATGCGCTATGAGCGCACATACGGGTACTTCTCAGGCATGCCGGGTAATCTGTGACGTTTCGCTCTCTCAAAAGTTGGGCCATTTTATCATCATGCGCGAATGAGCAACTCTCATAGGAATGAATGAGGCCTCGCCTCCCACGCTGTATCCAGTTCTTATTATACATCCATGGTCCAGCCAGGCAAAACAGTAATATGAAATATGAACGTTAGTTTTTAACTGAAATGATCAAATAAAGTCAAAATGTCACAGTGTTTACAAACATTGACCATACCGTTCACCAGCCCCAACCCCACTATGTTGAGTATAGCCTACTCTTTGTTTAAAACTAATTGGCCATCGGAATGTGTGTGTCCCAACCCCCCCCTGTGATATCTCTTCTCCAGCAGTCTGTAGGTTTGTGTTCGCATATTTATGCTGTCGCAGTTCCTGTTCTTTCTATCGCGCATTGCCGGTATGAAAGGGTCTGTGCCGGAAATATCAAGATAACACGGCAGGGTCCGTTACAGTTTGTTTTCGTCTGATTTCAAATAAACAAAGTCTTGGCTTTCAGAATATTAAACTTGTTTCGGCAAATTTAGATGATAAATACAACTATGAAGCTTGTAACGGCATAATTACTTAAGCGGAGAACGGAGTAATTTAACGTTACAGCAGGCATAACAACAGCCGGTGTTTATTTTATTATTATATATAGTCGTTATTCATTTGTTTTAAAGCTCAATAAGGAAGATTTAAACTTTCACACACGTTGACCGGCGAAAAACTCGGCCCCCACCACGTTGAATGGGTGGCATTTAGTACCTACCTCCCTCTGAGTGAATACCTTCACATCTTGTCACAAACTTTTTGGAAGAAAAGACTGACCCAAGATATCTTGGTTTGATTTGGAGAAGGCTTTTAAAGCCTATTGTATACTAACTCTTCCCGTCAAGAATATGAATAGAACTTAGATAGATCACTTTACATTTCTGCGAATGAATAGCTAAAAATATGTATTTCTTAATAAACTAAATAGGCCACCATTGGTAGCAGTTCTCATTATATACTTCTCAGTAACTGCTCCCCTTAAATTAAATGTATTCTGTAGATTTTGGGGATTCATTAATGCATTTATTGCCATCACCATGCTTTTTCAAGACTCTTTTAAATTCTATCATTTTATAAGGACTTTTTAATGTTCGACATCGCGTGAAACAGAGAATTTCGACATTCTGTATTCCTTGCTTACTTCCTTAAACCTTTTCTCCTCCTTATCTCTTTCATGACTTTTATTTAATGCCGGTGTTTATTTTATTATTATATATAGTCGTTATTCATTTGTTTTAAAGCTCAATAAGGAAGATTTAAACTTTCACACACGTTGATCGGCGAAAAACTCTGCCCGGTACCTTCGGCCCCCACCACGTTGAATAAACAGAAGGCTGCTTTTGTGGAGGAAGTTACAGCGCTACATACGCACATTTAGCTTTCAGTGTTACTGACCTGAGATGTTTTTATTACATGAATTAATTACATTGACCATACCGTTCACCATCCCCCACCCACCTACTGCATGTTGATTTTTGACATGTAAATGGTTACCTACCCCCCTCTGAGTGAATACCTGTTGTACCTGTCAGGGGCTAAGCCCATAGGACGATGCTCTGATGTCATCACCCTCGCACATTTGTCATATGTTTACAAAAAACGATGTTAACACTTTCTCGTTCTTAATATATGCTATATTTAGGGTCGATATGTGTTGAATTTACTTTAAAATAGCAGATCACTGTGATTCGGCTTAGTGAACGTGTGTCTCTTCCTCCGCGGCTCCTCCGTGCAGAGAGGCCCCCCCCCCCGTTGACAATTCACGAGTGTCTAACTCTCTCCCCCCTCCCCCGTCGCACCTTCTAACAGAGCCCCCCCACATATAAAATCCCAATTTAACCCCTGGCCTCTGGAGCAGAAATGAAAGAGTTTTAAAAATGTTTACGTTTTGGTAAGTTTTTAGGGAAATGTTGTAATATTGCAACGTTGGCCTTAGGTGAGAGCAGAATTTCTGTATTTCTACTCACATTGTCTGAATAAATATATTGAACAACTAAGGGTTCATTTGCAGGATTGATTGCTTACTTAGCCCTATATCAGTATATAGCATGAATAATAATCACACATCACTCATATTTGTTATGAATAATCATTTATCATTCATTAAATAGTAAGTCGCTTTGGATAAAAGCATCAGCTAAATGCAATTTATGAAAGCCTCACTCAGGATTTTTTTAACAAGTGTTTTTATTGCTCTTGGGGCATTAAAAACAAGATTTGAACTTTAGTTTTTTATATAATATCTGCATTTTCTCTTGTGAAAAACTAAGTCTTAGTTTGGCCATAGTTATTTAATATATAGCGCCATCTCCTGGTTAAATCCTGAAATTGAAAATCTGGCAACGCCCTCTTGGAAAATAGTGGGAGGGCTTAACATTCCCAGATACTGGTCTTTGGCAGGTCTTAGGCAGGTAACTGGCTGGTAGTAGGCAGGAAGCTGTATGCTGGAGTCTGAAATAAGATGCTCCATCTGTATGCTGGCAGGTACAGACAGACAGAAAGTGCTAAATAAAAAATGTATGCGAAAAATAATAATTTTTAATTTTCCAAAAGCAGGTGAGGATGGAGGATCCCCGGCCGGGCCTGGAGACGTTCCCTGTGACCTCTGCGAGGGGAATAGGAAGCGTAAGGCTGTGAAATCCTGCCTGGTTTGTTCTGCCTCTTACTGCGACGCTCACCTGAAGCCCCATTGCACCGTGCAGAAGTTAAAGTGGCACCAGCTGATCAACCCCGTGGATTCCCTCGAGGAAAGGGTGTGCAGGAAACACAACAAAGTGATGGATTCTTTCTGTAAGAGAGACCAGTGCTGCGTTTGTTCCGTGTGCCTGAAGGAAGACCATGTGGGGCATGACGTTGTCTCTTTGGAGGAAGAGTTTAAGGCGAGGAAAACTTTTCTGCAGCGCGCAAAAACATCTATGGCCGATGCTATATCAGATAAATGCAACACGGTTATAAGGGTGGAAAACTTGATGACGCAAAGTAGGCAGAAGCTGGAGGAAACTAAGGTGGAAGCGAACCAGGCCTTCGATGGTTTGGTTGCCGCGATTCTCAGTAAAAAAAATAAGCTGATGGAGGATTTGGAGGAGAAGCAGGAAGCTGAAGAGCAAAAGGATAAAGCACTAAAGAGACAACTATGGCTGGAGATCGCAGAACTCCGTCAGACGAGTGTGAAGATGGAAGAGGTTTTAAAGACAGAGGACGAATTTCAACTCCTGCAGAACCTACCATCCATCCCCTCTGCAACAAACACAAGGCATTGCTTTACAGAACGCAAAAGTCTCCTGCAAGTAGAGAAAGTCTGGAGAGCGGTGGCTGAAATTGAGGAGATGCTCAACGAACACATGGACAAGATTAAGGAAGAGGAGGCCTTTGAAGAACAGCAAACAGGAACCCCGTTTGACGATGAACTTGATAAGATCCAGGAGCAACATGCAGTAAAAGTGACTTTGGATCCCATCACAGCTCACCCTTCCCTTATTGTCTCTGAGGACGCGACACAAGTTTGGGATGGAGTCTTCAAGAGGAACATCAGTGACAACCCTAAAAGGTTCGACTCGCTCCATTTCGTCCTTGGGAATGAGGGGTTTTCCTCCGGGAAAATCTACTACGAAGTATCCCTTGAAGGACTGACTGGATGGGAAGTGGGAGTGGTGAGAGAGTCCATCAACAGGAAAGGTGTCAACTTGTCGCTTACTCCAGAAAACGGATGCTGGACGTTGGGGTTGTATTGGGGACGATGCCAGGCTAACTCCAATCCTCCGGTCCACTTGCCTTCGATTGAAAAGCTCCAGAAGGTCGGGGTGTTTGTGGATTTTGAAGAACGGTTCGTCTCTTTCTACAACGTGGACACGAGGGCTCAGATCTACTCGTTTACAGGGTGCTTCTTTGTAAGTGCATCATTTCTGAAGAAAATACTAGTGTTTGGGGTGAGGCCCAAGATCTACCCTTTGTTCCGACCCAGCGCTGAGGAAGGGAGCGCTCCTTTATGGATCACTAATGCATAGGCGGATTTTGCAGGGGGGCAGGGGGGGCATTTCCCCCCCTAGTGGCTGAAATATGTTACAGCATTACTACGTCGAAAACTGTTCCAATACAAATATCTTCGTATATCAATAAAGGTAGGACACTCGTTAATAATATTGTAGCGTGTTCAAGTAACCAAGGAATATAGTAGTTATCAATTAAGTATAAGATGTGCACAGTTATGATACGTTTTACAGTTATGTAATGCACTGTTGTTGGGGGGAGAGACCGCCCCTTCCATATGAGTGTGTGTGTAGGACGGGCATGGAAAAGTCATACTCAGTGCGGTGAGCGCTGGCTTTATTGCTACTGTATCCGTAGCACCCCACGTAATAGTTGGGACTGTGTACTGACGTCAGTAAAAAAGGTTTGCCACCCCAAGCGCAAATGTCAAACTCCGCCTATGCACTGATGTCAGATACACAAAAAGAACGTAGAACGTCCTACTCGGACAAGATCCTTGGGTTTGTTATAATGGAGGAGGATTTTAGGATGAGATTAACCTTTTTTTTTTTACATTTGGACGTTGCAGCAACACAGGGAGAGCGGTAGTACAGAAGAATAAATACGCTTCTTTCTGTCCTTGGAAATAAGCGATGTTGCTCTAGTTAAATCAAATTTGAAGTATCCCTTAAAGGGGACCTATCATGCAAAATGCACTTTTGTACGTCTTTTACACATGAATATGTGTCCCCGGTGTTCCAGGCAACTCAACAAGTGTCAGAAAACACAACCCTCTCTATTTTCCTCCATTCCCAAATCTCTAAAAAAGGGGCTGCAACGGATCTGATAAAAACTGATCCAGATTTGAACACTGTCCTGATGTCAGGAAAGTGGCGCTACGGCTATTGGACCAACTCTCCACCTATCAGGGGAATGTGGGGTTGGGCCACGGCCGGCCATTGCCGCTCGAAAGCGCTGGAGACGCTGTAGTACATATGCCAGGCCTGTAAGTGGCGCTGTAGTCTGCCACAAAAGCAGTGAAGAAGACTTCCCGCGCATGGTTGCTATGGTTACCCTTCTGTTTATTCTCCGCTGTGGCTTTTTTTCCTCCCCCCCCGAGGCAAGCGTTTGCTCCTGCTGCTTTAATTCAATGCAATCCCTCCCCGTCGAGAGAAGCACTGTAATTCTCTCCGGTTAGTCCACCAGCAGATGACAAACACCCACCTCTCCGCCTCTTCCAAGGAACGAGGGGACCGTGCGGCAGAGTTTCAGTTAGGTTTTCTTTCGCCGGTCAAGATGTCCGTTAAAGTTGAAATCTTCCGGACAAAATTAGAAAAGTGCCGGTCAAAGGTCTTCTTTGTTATTTATTGAGCTTTAAAACAAATGAATAACGACTCTATAGGCCTATAATAATATAATAAAACACGGAGGACGCAGATCTATTTTTCTCCCCCTCTTCTGACTTGATCAGAGCACGGCTCCCCTCTCCTGCAGGGGGGCGTGGTCAGCTGCAGCTCACAGAATCAGCCCCCTGCAAAAACAGAGCTGGAGAACAGCAAATAGACCGAAATGAGGCATGGCTAAAATGCATGATCTGTTTGGTATTTTGAAAACAGAAACGCATAAATATACCTTATATAGGTATGGCCCTACAATATATCATTTAAATATAGCATGATAGGTGTCCTTTAAAGGACTGACAGGATGGGAAGTGGGAGTGGGGAGACAGTCCATTAACAGGAAAGGTGTCAACTTGTCTCTTACTCCTGAAAACAACAAGATAAAGCTTTTTCTTTAAAATGTGTGCGTTGCAGCAGCACCGGGAGAGCAATTGTAAAGTAGAATAAAGTACTGAATGGATATTTTTGTATTTCTAAACTTATTCATTTCATGGTTAAAACACATTTTAACACAAATGTGCTGTTTATTTGGGGATTTTATTAAGACTATTCAATGTTTAATGCCTAAACACACTGCTGCTCATGTACCACAGTATATAAGTCATTGTTCACTTTTGATTTACTCTATTGTCTTCCTTTCTGATGTTGTGTTGGTTATTTTTCGAGCAATCTCTCAAGGAATCATTTATTTTGGGGTTTATTAAGTTATATATTATCCTAAAGAATAATCAATAATATTATTCAGCTAACTTTTATTTGGCTTCTTTAGTCATACTCGTGTTTGGGTATCGTTTGCCATTTTCTTCGGCTGTTAAGATTCACTTTTAGTTGTTGTTATATCAAAATAAAATATAGTTGTAATGATATATTTGTTTTCTGAAATGGATGCAGTTTTTGCCTTTGGTCACTTGAGGGCAGTGCACACACAGTAATGGTATTCTGCTAAACTCCTAATAAACAAATACACAAGTTACTGTTCACAAAACAGGAGATACATATTATTATTCAAAAGACAGCCATTTTAATGTCTTCATACAAGTTGGGTTATATTAAGTGTCCACAAGAAAAACATAACATTACCAGAAAACATGTGTTCTTTTTTTTATTGGATTGCACTTTGTAAATGTGTTTTAAAGGTCTCATATGAATAAAGTTAATTAAAATATTAAAACATTGCTGAATTGCTTGGAGTTGACGATATCTAAGGTTTTTGAACATGTTTTGGAGTTACAGGTGATGAATTACATTAGTATGACATAAGGTAGCATAATTATTTACATACTTTACAGCAATATAACACAATAGAGTATAATTTAAATATTTTACTACATTCGAGTATAACATACAGTAATAGTATACAGTATATTGTAATATAGTTATAGTATAATATATATAAAGACTGTCAATAAACATGCTTTTTATGACTTCAATATTGGTATAAATATAAGTTTTGTTATTATATTCATGGCATTTCAAGTTGTATTGTTGGAGAGTGCTCTAACTTTAAAAATCAAATTGTTATAGGTGACATAACTGAGCAGACTTTGGGTCATTTTGCCCCAAACAAACATGGCAGTCTTATGTCGCAATCGAAGGTCACACTCACACTTGCTTCTGATTGGTCAGACACCACAGCACCCACCCTCCTCTTGCTCCCATGTGGCCTATCGCTGCTCTGAACCCACTCCAACTTCCTCCAGCCAATCAGGTGCCTTTGTCCTTTTCACATTACGTTCAGCCGGGCATAACATTAAACAATAAAGTACAAATTCTAAATGTATCGTCGCGAATGTAAAACACGTTCTCCGGGTAAAAAGATGACGTTTTTAATTAAATATATTTATACACATATATATTTAATTTATAATAAGTAATAAATATTTGTATATACATATATATATTTAATTTAATACAATTACAAAATAATATTATTTAATCATTTGATTCATTCATAATAAATATTAAATTTGGATGTAAATGTTTGTTCTTGGATTCCACTGTAATGACTGTATTTAAAAAGTAGTGAATTAAAAATAATAAGAATAATGCAAAAATTAAATAGATTCCTAAAAATGTGAAATTCATTTTCAAAAATATTAGTTTTAAGTGTTATAACTTTTTTAATTTATTGTCTTGAATATAAATAATTGTATTTTTTGTATTCAGGGCATTTTGGATTTTACTTTTTTTTTCATTACAAAATATATTTAAAATGAATTTAAATGTAATGACGTTTTTTTTATTGAAAGTCCTGACAAGACCTAAAGCGGAGGTTGGTCCTCACAAAGGAAGAAGTACAGGAATAGACACACACAGGTAGGAGAGGTGTGTCCTGCATTCACAAGATCTGCACTCAGATAGTTCAGTTGTGTTTCTAGCTTGCACTGCACACAAAAAACAGGTAAGCTTTGATTTCTTTACTTCTTCTAACGCTTTATGTAACTTTTATTGGATTTTAACTGTTATGTTTCAGCTGTTATGTAGACACTACATACTGATACACACCTGAACATCAGCAGGAGAGGACTCTTTAAAGTAGAGACACTACATACTGATATACACCTGAACATCAGCAGGAGAGGACTCTTTAAAGTAGAGACACTACATACTGATATACACCTGAACATCAGCAGGAGAGGACTCTTTAAAGTAGAGACACTACATACTGATATACACCTGAACATCAGCAGGAGAGGACTCTTTAAAGTAGAGACACTACATACTGATATACACCTGAACATCAGCAGGAGAGGACTCTTTAAAGTAGAGGCACTACATACTGATATACACCTGAACATCAGCAGGAGAGGACTCTTTCAAGTAGAGACACTACATACTGATATACACCTGAACATCAGCAGGAGAGGACTCTTTAAAGTAGAGCTACATACTGATATACACCTGAACATCAGCAGGAGAGGACTCTTTAAAGTAGAGCTACATACTGATAAACACCTAAAGATGAGCATCATGTGTCTTCTTCAATAAATATGGTTCTGAAATAAGCCATTACATCTACGTTTGCTTTTGGTACTTTATGTATGCCAATACTATACTATACTACAATAACTTCAGTTAGATGAATGAATGCAGTCATTTTACTTGTAACAGAGTATTTTTGGTAATTTAGCATTACTACTTTTACTTACACTTCCTGCTTCTTACAGTACAGACGCTTTTCTGCTTGCTCTTGGCTCTGCTTACTTTTTTATGCTGATTTTCCTATTTTTATTTTCTGATAACTTCGAGCAGCGGCTCCTGGACATTAACTTATCACTGGGACAGTTATTCTTCGTAAATAGATGAAGGGTTTCAGCCATATTTCAATATTTTTACGACAACCTCACTCCTACAGTAGCGTGGCCTAGCAACAGCTAAAGCCTGGTACTGCATGCTATTTAGCTAGTTAGCAGCAAAATATCTCCGTTCTCTACAGATGACTTCCACACACTTCTACAGAAGATGGCAGTGTTGGAAATGAAAATGCAACGGTTGGAAGTTAACGTGGAAGTGAATGGACTAGGTTGGAATGACACCACTTTACCAGTGCTGCAAAAGAATGGAAAAGGGCATGGTAACTTACAGCTAGTTAGCAGCTACAAGGATTCCAAGGAACAGGAGGGCTGTGTACCGGGTAATAAATCTACAAGTGGTAGTCCTCCCTGGAACTCTCTGGGTGCAAAGCCTAAGAGTAAATCATTTCCATGGGATTTGGGAGAACGAATAACAGGCAGAGCCCAGCGCTCTGAAATCTGTGATGCGACCGGCTGGCCTGCATTGTTATCACCCAGGAAGAGCGCCTCTTCAACCCCTCTTCATACTAGGAAACAGTCGTGGACAGCTGCTAAAGGGAGAACTACAAACAATCCTCCTAAACCACCAAGTGTGCCAATCCAGAACAGATACGCTCTGCTGACCCAGAACCGGAGATCTCTTTCTGATGAGCTGGATAACCCGTCCTCTTCACACAGCAGGGTAAGGACCAATAGCTACTCCAAAAGTAAAAGGCTAGAGGGAAAGCTAACGACTGGGCCTGAAACTCTGATCGTGGGTGACTCTGCTGTAAGAGATGTAAAAGGTCTGTGTAGTAAGAACAACACCAAAGTACTCTGTTTTCCCAAGGATATGGTCTCTGACTTGGCTGAGAAGATCCTGCATATTGGGGCTGAACATCCGACTGTGAAGAATGTGGTACTGCACATTGGAACAAATGATGTTGTGAAACAACAGTCAGAAGTGCTGAAAAAATACTTTAAATGTCTGGTGGAAACTGTCAGCTCTCTAAATGCGGAGGTGTTCATCAGTGGCCCTCTACCGCCAGTCAGAAGAGGAGTGGAGAGATTCAGCAGATTGCCTGT